CGCCATAGTCCTCGTATGAGCAGAGGATGTCATCAGACGCAAAATCAAACCCTTTGGAGGCGGAGTTACCGCGACCCGACGATCCAGACGCCATAGCTGAATAGCTTCGCGATGCAGGAGAGATAGTCGTCAACAAAAGATCGAACCTTTAAGACGAGAAATCTGGGTAATTTAGAGAGAGGGATTGCTTTAATGCTTTGGCCTCCGTGCTTCTATGCCAAACCAAGTTTCGCATATATTTAAGAAAGTTAGAGGAAAAGAAATTAGAAAAATAATTCATTTTTATATAGAGAGCACGCTTTGGCTTAGAGAGAAAGATAAGGATGAGGACCGAGTGACCGACCATGCCTCCAAGATGAGGTAGCCCTTGTTGAGTTGGTGTGGCTCAGATTTTTTTCTCTCCCCCTCCACATGCTTGAATTGCACAGCTTATTATGCCCTAGAAATGTATAGTTACACATCGACATTTTCTACATATTCATTCAGCATATATTTTTTATAATAAATTAGTTTCATTTCTGGTAATAAATATAGAGAGGATCTCATAGTCACTGCTAAAACTCTTTTGAAAAGTTGAAAAGACTAATATTATTACTGACAATAGATATTCCAAGTTGAATTAAAAAAAATTAGCTTAACACTCCCCCAGTCTTATATTTAAGTTGCATTTTTTGAAATAGGATTAATCTTATGTATAGGTTACATTCTTATATCTAAAATTTTAATCTACTTCCCCCTACTTTTACTCTTGTTTTTTTTTTTTACTGAAATATAGGTATTTTCCTATCAGAGGCAATTATATTCGAAACACTGTCAGGTATTAAATGCGGGTACTTTTCTCAACAGGGATTCGAATCTTAGTTCCATATGTTATAGACACTAGCCCCTTTCGCTAGACCCAATCCCTATTGGTGGGAATACATTTCTTTGTGTGCCTTTTTTTTTTTTTTTAAATGGTTATGTGAGTTATTTTGTTGAAGGTGTAGAACCCTGAAACTGGGGGCATGACGGTATGTTGTTGAAAATATGACAAAGATTTGACAACGACAGGTTAAATGGTGATCCGATTCCTAAATAAGTAAATATGGCCCCATCGGAATTATTGGTCATTATGTTTCTATAAGTTAATTTATTTGATCCTCGACATTATAAAATGAGTGTATACTTTCTTTCTTTTTCAATTTTTTTTTGACCAGCTTCTTCTTTTTCAATTTTAAATATTCATTTTTATTAATAATTATTTATTTTAAAACATATATTATTTAAAATATGTAATTTTATTTATAATCGGTTTGATTAAATTTAAATCTTGATTTAATCATTACATTGTAAACACAATGCAACAAACGGTTTAATCATCAATTCAGTTTTATTAACATTGAAAATAATTCACAAAACTGTTTAGATCAAACTATTGGGACTATTAACCAAAACGAATAACTAGGAAAAACTGATCAAAAATACATATTTAGAAATTTTACTGGCTAAAACAAAGTGGTGCAACTCATTTTTAACTAGTGCAGCCTTTTTTCAACTAGATGCAGTCTATAATCAAACGTGTATAAAAATTTTCAAAACAAAAAATATTTACATACATGTAACACATGTCAAAAAAAGAATTACACTAATAAAGTTCAGGTTTTCTTTAACTAATAAGGTTTCAAAACATGCAGTTTTTATCGATTTTTTTCAAACAAGTGGGGCCAGAAACTAATTAAAAAGAAAAGTGGCAAATGCTAGTCTAGAAATTATAGATCTATTTTTGTTTGTTCCGATTATATTAAGGCTATTAACTTGTTACGTGGGTGATGTGCTTCAACATATCTTTTTAAAGATCTTGTTGATAAAACTAGATTACTTCTTTGTTGAGTGACACTGTGGTTGATTACCTGGCCAAATCAGTTTACAGACTAGAAAAAAATTATTGATCACATTCCATGTTCTTCAATATGGGAGATAGAAGTTGATTAAGAAAGCCCCTCTGTTTGTACTTTGGTTTGTTTTTTATTTTGTGATTAATTGATACTTCTCCGATTCTTAATATAAGACTCAATTATTGAGTTGATTTTGATCCTAAATATAAGATTTGTTTATCATATTTATCAGTTTTCTCTAAATTACCCATATACATATTCCCTCAACCATAATCAAATAAAAGAAAAGAAAATGAAGTATTAATAAAGATAATTATGGTGTTTTAGCAAAAATGTGTTACGTTTCTTATAATTGACTAACTTACCTAATTTCTTAATCTAATCAAATTAGTTAAATAGGTCTTATATTAAGGACTAGAGAAGTAGTATCAAATGCACTATAGTTTGTCGAGAGTGATGATTGATGAGGTGTTGGTTTTTCTGCCCTCATTTATTATCAGGAAAATTGGGGATAAATACCCTATTGAGAAATTAATTGGTAAATAGGACCTGAGAAGATCAGTTGCACACAAGAAAGGTCAGTTACACGCACACGGAAAATCAGTTACACGCACACAGAAGATCAGTTGCAAAAAAAAAAAAGAAGATCACTTGCACACAACGGAAGTTCACCTGCAGAAAGTTTTTAGGTCCTATTTGCCAATTAATTTCTTAATGGGGTATTTATTCCCAATTTTCCCTTTATTACCTCCCGCCTTTAATATAAAATTAATTTGATATTTAATTTGGTTCTAAATGTAAGACCATAATTTATTTTATATTTTATATTTATCTATTTTTTTAAGTAGTACTTATAATAGTTGCACATGTTAAATATTCTATCAAATAATAGTTCTAGTTAATATATATAATTAGCAAATGTATGTTAAAGAAGATAACACATATTTATTATAAATAACTAACTTAACTAATTTTTTAATCTACTTAAATTAGTCAATTAGCTCTTATATTAAGAATCAGAAGTAGTATTTTATTAGGTTTTATCCGATCCCATCAAACAGAGCTATTTATAAAGATTCTAGTAATTTAAAATTCACGAACATAATATATCACCGGCCACCATTTTTTTAAAGGGTGGGAAAGAAACAAACGGGAAAAAATGAACAACACACGTATGCGCGGACCACGTTTTTTCTTGGGGATATACAAGTAGTTAAACTTGTGGCTCCTGGTCAAATTTATGTGGTAAACGTATTTTTCTGTTTTTGGTCTTTCTCCACACCAATAATAATTTAATAGTTTTATTTTAAAAAAAAGTACTTTTTGACATTTAAATTATAAAATATGTAAAAAAATTAAGAAATATATATAAATTTGAGAAAACTACAAAGCTTTATCTAAATTTTATATTTCATATACGTAATAATGATTTATGTAGAATGGGACATAAAGCAGGTGGATAAATAGGATTATTATATTATGGTTCTAGTATATACAAGAGGCTTCGCTGGAAATAAACCATGAGGAAGTTGGTATGCGTTACATCAGTGGATAGTGTTGAGACTAATTATTGTCATGCTGCTTGCTGATTAAAACTTAAACTGATCCTAAAACAAGTTTTATGGAATTCAATTTTTTTGCTATAAAAGAATTAAAAAAATCAGAATAATAAAATTGTTAGAAATAGAGTATTGAATGTTGAGAAAGAGAAGAAAAATAAATAAAAATTGTAAGAAGGGCGAAGCAAGGTGGGCGTGAGGGAAAAAATCTGGTTAACAGCATTTTATAATCTTTTTGTTTTTATTTTAGTAATTAAATATTTAAAATATAATTTTTGTAACATCCTCACAATCATACCAAATTGATTAACAGTGATTATTGTTTTATTTTATTTTCTTACTATCCTTTTTATTAACCAAACGAAGAGTTATTATGTAAGATTTTTTGGTCAATGGCTAGTTATGTAAACGACAATTCAATCTACCGCGTATGAAAATGATTCCGACTTTAAACTTTGTATCTGTACCAGTATGGTTTTGTCTCGCGTTCAGATTGCTTGTAATGAAAACAAAGATTAATATAATTTTAGTCTCTAAAATTTAATTTTATTCTTAAAATTTGAAATTTTAATTTCATTTTAATTTTTTCCCAACAATTTTATTTTGAGTTTAATTCCCCATATTTGAAACAAGTGATTTTAGTTTGTTTTAAAATTCTTGGTTCTTAAAACAGTTTTTTTTATTACCGCTCAAACAAAAACAAAAACAAAATAATATTAAATTTTAAGAACGAGGTGAAATTTTATAGTATTAATCTTAAAAATAAAACGCTTTTTTTTTTGTTGGGTTCGGGCAAAAACATAAACACATTTTACTCGTTGGGGTCTCGTGTCATTACTTGATTGCATTTACCTTTTGCCTCATCATTTAAGCCAATGTACGTTGTTATTATTTGACTCTCGCAACAGTTTCATAATTTTCTTAATGCTTTTTCTCCACTTTATGCCAGCAGCCCAGCGGTTCCGTCGCGTGCTCTCTTCCCACCACACATAATATCTTCAAGGGACCCGCAAGGCCACTACCAAAACGCCGTTAATTTGTTAAGTCCATCAACAATCGTAAAGCATTTTTCAGTCACCTCTAACACTTTAAATTGTTTTCTTCCTTCGTATTTAATGCATTAAAAAATATTTTTAGACACGTCTTAAAGTAGTGGATACTCCAAAAAATAATTCAAACTATTGGGCATACTTAAAAAAAATATTTTAAAATGTTAAATGAGTGGATACATCCAAAAAAAGAATACTGCGGCTTATTGGATGCATCTTAACCTTTAATTATTTTTTGTTTATATTTTATTTTGGGTTGGGGTTAGATTTGTAATTTTAGTGTTTTGAAAAACAATTAAAAAAGATTCCTTTTTAGCCCCATTCCTTTCCCATCACACGAAACAATAAAGTGGAGCTGTCAATATTATTTTGAGAGAAGTGACTGATTGCTCTTAGAGACAATTAATAGTAATGATCACTAATCAATAAAACAACCATGGCCTCCAAACTGAATTCTAAGTTCTAGCTATTACTCGCGAGAGGGCCGTCCTAGGTGGGAAAACACAAATGATGGGGGGGGGGGGGGGCGCCCTCAAGAAGAGGGCTGAAAGTCAAAGAAGAGATGAGATTCCAGGAGAGGACACAGGCGCACACAGCAAATAACCTTAAAACATATCCAACATCTACTAAACCTAATAATGAGGGCAACCTCCGGTTTTGGTCAAAAGGAGAGGATCGAGCACGGTGTGAATGGAGTACAGAAGGAGAATCACGTATATTACGACCGCCGCTAAACCGGCAATCAAAGCTCCGGTGACATGATTACAGTAATCTCGGACTTGACCACATATTGGTAACCAACCTGCATACACATTCCCTTTCTTCCCCACATACGCTATTGACACTGCTGCTGATTCGCTTGATATCAGCAACATCGTGAATACCTGCTCCCCACACAGTAAATAAATCCGTCAGCTACTTCTCTTTTTCTTCTGTTTTTCCTTTTTTGAATTAAAAGGATATGAACTCATGGTTTGAGATTACAAGAGGATGGAAACGATGACTTCCTACTTATAAAAGAGTTTTCACGTTACTAGATTATGAGGTTATTCCCCCATCAGTCACTTTTCTGCATTATTTGTCTATGCTTCTTTCGCTTATCAATTCAAACTGACCATCCTACCCTGATCTTTCCTAGGCATACATTATTGGGCTGGACAGACGGGGTTGAACTGTGGCCCGTTATGTATTCATATGGGCTTAATGATTGGGCTTGCTTTTACGTTTTCAGGCCCAGATGTGAGGCCATGACTTCGATTCATACTCGTTGACATATTGATGAAATCAATCTTTCTATATATGTCTAAGGTTTCGTTTCTTCCGGGCTCAGGCAGTCCTTATTAACGATGGATCTTGATTTCAGGATTAGTTTTGTTGATGAATAAGGGGACAAGTACGGGTCTGCTTAATAAGACTGTTCGCCAAATAATGCATATTATGCTCCACCGTAGTGGCAGAGAAAGGAGAAGTGAGTTTTAGAGCAGAAATTACCAAATCCAAGGCAACCACGAAACGCCAGAGCAAGCTCTTTGGGGGAAGAAACATGACGAAGAATCCGTACACTGTCACTACAGAGTTTGCAATCACAAAGTACCTGGCAAGATTTTCAATAATCAGCTTCATGTCCCAAGAAAAAAGAAACACTGACTCGTTAATTCTGCAGAAAAATCAACAAAACTTACCTGAAGGCAGGTGTGTTGGTGTACTTGGCTTCATAATAGAAAGGGAAAAAGCTAAAGCCAAGTCTCTCGTGGGTAGTAGCCATCACAATGACCGATGAAAGGGTGGCTCCAAAGGCCAAGAACCTTAGCACAAGGTGGCAGATTCTCTTAACCAGACCCATGGAGTTTGATTTTGATCACACAAACTCTGCTGGTGTGCTGCATTATGAAATCCTGGTGTTCCAAGGAGAGGTTAAATAATAGATGTATTTGACTGGGAGGGTTAGGAAGGAAAATAAGGGACGCTGACACAAGTTATTATTTCTTTTCTGTGTTGTTAGGTGAGGTTTTTATCTGTCTGTACTATGACGCCGTCTAGTGAAAATCTTTTTTTTTCCACTTTTTCTGCTGCGTCAACCTTCTGTAGGGCATTTACCTTTTGTTCTTGGTAACATTTCTTCTTAAAGTATAGGTGATCTGAACTTCTGCTCTTGTCATAAAAAGCTATATCAGTTAAATGTCATTTTCATTGCATCCTGATATTTCAAACCAGTATACCTGCCATGTTGGCTTTAGTTTTCCATTTTTCTGTCTTCTGCTGTGCATTTCAGGTTTCATGTTCTTTTGGTTCCACTAACGTCTCTTGTAGCCTTCTTTCTTAGCCTTGGCTGGTTCTACGTTAAAATTTATTTGCTTCAAAGGTTTCTGTGAGAGTTCTGTTGCACAAATATGGGGGGATATGTATGTGTATATGGAGGTTTAATCTTGCACCAATCACTAAAGTTAGTTTCGTGGCTAGTATGATCAAGCATTTAAAGTTCATTTCTTGTAAGTTGGTAGGTGGAGGTTGATGCTCCTTGCACAATTGCACGCTTCATTTTCAAGGTAAAGACAAAAATGGATAAACAGATGACCAAATTTTCTTCATTAAAGATGGCGCATAATGTTTGGAATTTGCTTATAAGAAATTACTGTTGTTTTGTTTATTTATTACATTGCATCAATAATAATAGGTTTGGCTTTTGCATTCAGTTTTTTTCGTTCTTTTTGTCAGATTAATTTGTTCATTTGATAACTTTTATAGCACAATTAATGAAAAAAATATACTACTTCCAGTCTATAAACAAAGTCTTATAATTAGAATCGGAAATAGTAATAAATTGTGCATGAACTTTTTAAGTCTACGTTGTGACACTTGATACTTTGGAGAATGTGAAACAATCTGTAATTGTTGACCCCAGCGATTTGATGCCATGGGGAAGCACACAGCAGCAAAAGGAAGTTGATATGTTGGCCAATTCCTCTGTTTTTGCTCGTTATATCCTGAGATAAAAGTTCAAGGCCTTCTCTAAAATTCCTTTGACTTGGGTCAAATTATATGTCATTCTCTGTTTTGATTAACATGTTCTGCACAATTGATATGCAAAATTACTTTTTATAACTAAAGGGATCAATTGTTCAATACCCGCTAAAATTTAGAATGTGATTAAATTTTGGCATCTAAGCCATTGTAAGAGGATCTAGAGCAAGGGAAGCTGAAGCAGAAACTTACATCCGTGGGTATGTTCTGATGCAGATGAAGAGAGAAACAAATTGGTTTACATAAACAGCACTGTCCCCCCCCCCCCCTTTTTTTTAGGGTTTTCAGAATTTCTCTTGAATAGATCTATGAGGTAAACCAAAATGGCGGTTTCATTTTCTCTAGCCGTATCAATTAAATGCGTAAGAAGCTTCGCACGTCATAGATCCCTTAATCCTCAGTTCATCCCTTCCAAACCCAATGCTAGATTAAACATCCTTCCGACGTACAAACCCACAACCAATCGCCACCGCACAGTCCGATGCCTCTTCACCGGAATTGTTGAAGAGATGGGCACAATCAAGCAACTCGGGATCGCCCAGGACGACTGATTCACCATGAAGATCGGGGCAAACACCGTTCTCGACGGCGTAAACCTCGGAGACAGCATTGCCGTCAATGGCGCTTGCCTCACGGTAACCCAATTCGATCCCAAGGCTTCCGATTTCACCGTTGGATTGCCTCCTGAAACGTTAAGGAAAACTTCATTGATGGAGCTGGAAGCCGGGTCGCTGGTGAATCTAGAAAGGTCGGTCACACCCACGACCAGAATGGGTGGGCATTTTGTTCAAGGACACGACGATGGGACAGGGGAGATAGTTTCCATGGACCCATAAGAAGATTCCTTGTGGGTGAAAGTGAAAGCAGAGAAGAAGTTATTGACGTATGTGGTGCCCAAAGGTTTTACAGCTGTGGATGGGACTAGTTTGACAGTGGTGGATGTGTTTGATGAAGAAGGGCGTTTCAATTTCATGTTGGTGGCTTACAACCAGCAAAAGGCGGTGATTCCTTTGAGGAAAATTGGGCAGAAGGTGAACTTGGAGGTAGATATTGAGAGATTTCGCAGCAGTGGTTTTGTTGACTCCGTTAAAAGTTATTGATCATCTGTGAGGTAAATAAACTCTGTTTGAATTCATTATAATGGCCTCTGGTGTGCTAAAATAATCGAAGCAGTAATTTGTTTTAACTTTTTTGTCATCCTGGACTTCTGGTGTGTTCCTAGGAGTGAAGATTAAGCGGCTTTGGATGTCCCCAGTTCTGGACAATAGCAACTTGATGTGAATATATGCGGTCATTTCTGGTTTCATCCTTATGATTGATGCAACTTGAAGGTCAATCATTCTACATGGGACTCCGTTCCTTGTGGAAGTTTCATTGAAACCAGAAGTGGCTTAGGATTTTTTTTTTGGGTTTGATGAGACTGATTGGGTTATCTGTTCTGCCCGCTATATTGGGATTCGATGGATTGAATTGCTAAGGTACTTGACAGTTACTCGTGGGGTTCTGGTTGGCTTCTATATCCTGAGCTGTCGTGTTCTGGTATGATTTTCTTGGCTGGCATTTCCAATAAGATGGGACTTGACGGAATTTTTTTTCCTATTGCTCCATAGAATATTATCAACTTTGTTATATTTCTATTCAGAAATATCTATGGGTGATCCAAATTTTATCCACCAACGGAGCCGAGGAGGAGTAAATTCTGCGTTCACTGAAGTGGTGGATCTGCAGGTCACTAAACATTTAGTTCTTATTTAGTATGAAGTATTAAAAATAAGAAATAAGAATTAGTATTGAGATTAACAAAACTTATTAAAAGAATATCTAGTATGAGAAATTGTTTGTTGTTTGGAATTTTGGAATTGAACAAATTCATGCAAGTTAAATTGAAGAATACTACCTCTTCCCTTGATATTAATACTTGTATTGTAATATAAATTCATATGAAATTGTATTGTTCCCGAAATTATGAATAATGCAACAGGGTCTAGTGTTTAATTTAAACTTATGTCATATGAATAATCATGGATGCATATAGATTTTCAATTTCCTAGACAAGATATTTTCGTGAATGTAAAACGGTGATCCCAGATCCATATCTTCAAATTTCGAACATAAATCTTATTTGAGGTCTACTTTAGGTTCCATTCCTATCAATTTCAACATCAATCGATATAAAATACAAATTCATAACAAACAACACTATTTGTTCTTTTTTGATATGCCCATACTATTTGTTAACTATGAATAGGATGTATGACTATTTTTAAAATTATGTATAATATATAAGGTCCATATTTAATGCTTATGAAAAAAATCTTGGTATAGCTTGTGATACTTTTCAGACACCAATAAATATCTCGGACCTCAGCCTTCTTTTTTACTCACTTGTTATTACGAAGCTGATCAATTCTTCTTTTTTTTTTCCGAACAAAAAGCATGATGAACGAATAGGGTTGGGGCCAGCAAGAGGGTTTAATCCTTTATAACGTGACGAATCAAGATTCAAATTTTTATTGAGAGAAATGCTCATATTTAGTGCCCAATAATATTTTGAATATGATTATTTCTAATAGAAACATACCTAAAAAAAAAAAAAAGAAGAGAAAGAGCATGATGAACCGTTGGCCACATTTCAATCTCTCGGGGAAGGAAAAATGGGCAGGGTCATTTGGTGGGAAGAATATCATCTTTCCTTTTATTAATATTGTCCTATGTAAAAAAAATTATGTTAAAAAATAATTTTTTTACTTTAATTTTTTAATTTTTTTGATTCAAACGTGCCTTATCATAAATTATAAAAAAAAAAACAAGAAGATAATTAAACTTGGGATGGCAATATAGGACAAACCTTGATGTCTATCCATTTTGAATAATCGGCTTCATGAACACTCAGTAATTAAAAAATTTGATCCTACTTGACAACATTCAATAATCACTGCAGTCAAAGAATATAATTAAAATGCCAACCAACCTTATCATCACCACCATATGATTACAATTTTTCAATGGTGAGAAAGAAAGATTGATATCATTGTTATTTCTTATATTTTGACCAAAAATTTGATTTTAGTCTTTACAATTTTTAGTTGTTAGTTTTAGTTTTTATGATTTCATAATTTTTTTCATCTTAGTTTCATAAATGATTTCTATATTTTTAATAAGTTTTGATTTTAGTCTTTAGACATAAACCCAAACCATGTGAATCAAAACCAAAACGATAATAATACTAACGCAGAGAGAATTTTGTTATCTGTCCGATCACATATGAGAGAGAAGGTTCGTGCATGGGCAATCCAATGGTGGCCTTGCAAGTGCGTTCTGACATCATACCTACCCAGTTAAGTTATTGATTTAAATATGCATAAACTGCTTTAGAATAATTTTTAACATCTGCCTCCCAATCATCTTACGTTTTCAACTTGGGCTGGTTATTATATTATTTTGTTGTGAAGGTGCAATTATGTAGTACATGGTTCTCAGATTTCGTATTCAGCAAGCACAAATTATTGTACGGATCTGTTGAATAGAATAAAAAATTACTACTACTCCGTCCTTTGTTATAAGATCTTTTTAATTAAATTGTACGGTTTAAAAAATAGTTAAAAATAATTAGTATGTAACAAATATAATTTTTTTCCAAATATACTTCTATATATGAATGGGTAGATGTGAAAAAGTAATAGTGAGATAAATGAAGAAAGAAAATGTATTAAATACATTAAATTAAGGATAAAATAGGTAATACTGCATTAAATACTCAGATAAACTCAAAGAAAATTTATAAAAAGGGACTAATATATTTAAAAATTAGATCTTATAATAAGGGATGGGGGACTATAGATATTTGTT